TTTCATGGCATATGTTATTTGCAGTTTATCTGCAAGTATGTTAATGCCATAGGTCAGGGATCACCAATTATATACCTGCAGGCAACTTGGTGCCCTCAGAGGGATTTTTATATGTCTGTGAGAATTTTAGAGAATTCATAATAATAACTCAATTGCTTGATGATGATTGGAAATAACAACATTTTCCCATGATAAAGTCATGGGTTTCTGGCATAAGCAAATGAGAGGATTACTGAACTCTTCAATGGTACATGGGAATGGCATAAGTTACATTTTTTGCGTGACAGATGGCAAACACAACTCAAGAGGCTACAATATCCACATACATCATCTTCAGGTGGTTATGTGGACATTGTAGAGGAAAAATAAATAATTAATAAATGTTCAAATGACCATGGCAAGCCATAAAACCTGTAACCATGATCAGCTGATATAAATACACAATGTCTCACAGGACACCAGGGTGTGTCACAAACTCTGTGAATGTACACTACTTGTGATCCAGAGCGTACAGTGCACTGACAAACACATACAGCAAAAATACATTTGTACAAGAGATGACAATTGGATGAAGATGGAATTTATTTATGCAATGATGAAGAATCCACTAAAAGTACACCAGAGGCACAATATCAAATGGTCCTAAGAACACCGAAAATTACAGCAAACAACTTATCTCAAAACGCAATGTAAGTAACACAGAATTTATTACCATGGGTAATAAAGATGAGTGGTCCAAAAAATCACATAAAGTTGAACATTCATATTATCACCATGAAGATATACCATAAAAATACAACACAGCCACTATGTAAAAATAACAGATTAAAAAGGAAAGTACAATATCCAGGCTATCTCTAGGCATCCACCTGTAACAACAGTAGAAGTACTGTTGGAAGTGGTGCTCTCTGTTGGGTCTGCCTCAAGGCTATATAGCAAGGACCCCAGGCAGCTCTGTGTGGAGGCGGGGTCAGATACCTCCACTGACCCTGCAATTCATAGGAGGTGACAAAAAGGGAAATCTCATCTGAGAGAGTAAAATATAGTCATGAGCCCCAAGGGACTAGGACCTGAGAAAGACTGCTCTGGCAAGGGCCAGCAGCATATTCAAAAGACAGACCCATTCTCATGTCAGATAGGGAGCCCCACAAAAACAAGGCTATAACTGCCAAACAGTAATACATTTCTGGTCATGAGCCCAAGAAGGTGCTGGAGACCAAGACTTGCTGACTGATTGACTGAATGCAGTTCACTTTGGTGAAGTGAAGTGAAGTGGTTGGTTGGTGAGTGAGAGGGTTCAGCTGAGCTCTGCAAGGGAGACTGAGAAGAGATAGCACTATAGTCAGTTGGCAGTTGACAAAGAGTTCTGCACAAGAGGCCACACAAGAAGACCTGAGAGCAGGAAGCTAAGAATTTCCACTGTTAGAACTCGCTGGTAGGGAATGGCTGTTGAGGTAACAGAAGGCTGGAAAAGGCATAGAGCGTGCTATAGTGATCTGTGAATTGTGGCGTTTAGCAGTAGTGCTGTAATTACTTGTAGTTCTGAGTGGTGTGTACAAGTGGTGTCAATAAATCCAGTATCCAATCCATACCCCGTCTATACTAACACACCCAAAAATACGTGACAATACGATGTGTATGTAATTTACTTGTTGATTTTACTCTGTTTATCAGAAGTGTGCATACCTGACCAGCCACTTATTCCCTAACATATGTCCCTGGTGGGGGATCAGCTATCCCTGCTAGTGAATAACACTAGCAGGTGGCTGTGGACTTACTGCCATCAGCAATCCAACAGAAGGTCATCCTCTTGCAATGGAGGGCTAATTTGTTGGCCCTGCCACTGAGAGGAAGTAGCTGTTAGCTCTTGAGGGCTTTCATGAGGGTCCTGGGAGGCTAAAACTGAATGAAGTGTCTTGATGGAGAAGAGTAGCCTGTCCACCAAGAAGAAGAAATGTCTGATAAGCAGAAGTTTTTCAAGATGATGCCTCTTCTGAGAGAAATTGAGGGCTTAGCCAAATATTGTTAGCAGGGAGAACCTGGGTCAGTGGTGAGGGTTCTGATGGCCCTGTTGGTGAATGACAGAGTGTGTCTGAGAAATCCTGCTTCTAGCAGCCGAAAGAAACATGACATTCTGTCAGTGTCAAACTTGGTTGGACAGAAATTAGGAGAGACTCAGTTTGGAGCTTAGCTTTAGCTAAGGTTGAGGCTTTAAAGAGCCCAATAAACACTGTGTGTGCATAATAGACCCAATAGAGGTCTGAGTGCTTTAGAGGCACCACAAGTTTTCCCCCCTTAAGTCAATGAAACACAACATCACCACATTAAAAATACATATATATGGTATATAAGATGTCTCAGGAGGAAAGTTTAATATTCTGGGAGGTCATAAGATAGATCATTCTAAGCAGAAGAGTGTGTATATACTCATACATGTGACTTGAACAGTTTCCGAGATAGAGCTATTCTGCTGGTCAGTTCCAACAGATATTACATGTTACTTCTAATACCAGTATTTATTTTTCAAATGAAAAAGTTAGTACAGTTCATCCAGAATAATAAATTTCGAAAATTCCACCATCAGCATCAGTGCACTTTGCAACTAGTGTGAGGACATGGCGTATTGCTTCCCTGTACAGTACACGGTGGCTAACTGAGTAACTTCTTTGAGTAGCTGACAGTTATTAAATAAAAAAAGTTAAATAAATAAATAAATAAGATAAAATAACCGAAGAATGAATCATTCAGTACTAAGCATGGACTTCATGATACATTAATAAAGTGGCACCATATGTTAATTTCTTCCATTATTTTAAAGACCTTGGCTTCATGAGTGAATGGACAGGGTGTTAGAGTACAGTACTTACCATGTCAAACTTCTTCTCCTCGCTGACCATAGATGAGATGGCAAATGCTGTGACGCAGCAAGCAGTTAAGGAGAGATAAGTGTTAATTACAGCCCGATGCTGGTCATCACCATCCACCAGTGCAGAGTTAAAACTTGGCCAGAATAACCAGAGAAACACAGTACCTGTTTTATAAACATAAGTGTAATTTTTCTGTCCTACTGCAGAAATATCAGAGAACACACAAACATATTATGAAATTTACCTTATATCTTACCAGCATTTATAATTGAGCAATGTGCTAATAATATGTGAAGGATTTTTGATGCAATTTGAATCATAGTTTTCAAAGTTTCCTCTTAATCGTATGAGCAAACTTTAATTTTATAATTTGAGTGTTATCCCCATATTAAACTATGAGCTACTATATTCTGTGAAACTGACTGGTCTAGAACCACTACAACACATTGACCAATGCAGGGAGCAGCCCATACACACAATTCATAAGAACAAACTAATATACGTAATATACATCACATACTGAATAATGAGCATAAGCTCCGTAAGACATTACTAAGGTCATGACTACATGACCTATCCCACGTAAGAAGATTCCAATAAGCGGGCACCCCACGCTATAGTCGCTTCTACCAGCATAAAAACCAGGCCAACATGTAGCCGTTGCAGAGTCCTACCACAAAAACAGAATTTTAACTTTCATGTCTTAATCTTTATATCTTTAATTTTAAATTTTTATTATCTAAGGATTTTCAGTTTTAAAAATGTTGACCAAAAATTAATACACGTCTTTATGCATTTCAATAATTTCAAGACCCAATAAGGATCCTTATTTGAAGAATTAGATGATAATTAATTGCAATTCATCAGCTCATACTGGAGCATTGTATGCCTGATGATGACCCAGTATAAGGGTCGAACCATGTTGCATATGTAAAAACATAATAAAAGCAAATATTGATACAGTAGTGTCTTCTTTGTTTTTAAATATAAAATATTGTTGTGTAGACTGCATACCTTATATACTTTTGTATATCTTATTTATGACACACAACAGGATGCACACTATTAAGAAATGGAGATGATACGAACAATGTTAGATATGAAGACTGTTGAGGATCAAATTTGGGATTGAAAATTTAAGTCATTACCTAGGTGCCTGGAGACTTGCGAAAAGTGTTTTGCAGTGAAAGAGCAAAGATGACAACACATGGACACGCAATGAGGTTAAGAATGCGATAATCAGCATTCATGCGTAATACCGTATGCAAGACGCTCCGCTAACTAGGCCACTGGAGATGGTCATATGAGTAAATACACAGCGATAAGACGCAAGAGGTCCACCCCCAGCCACATAGAATACCCAATGAAAGCCTAACTTTAGGAAATTAGAACACAAGGGAGGAGCTATCTACCCCCCTTGTCGTCCACGCTGAATCAGCGAATTAAGACTATAAATGAGGGAAATTCAAGAGACTTGGAATTCTGATTTTAAACAGAATATTCAGTTGTCAGCCGGAGGCGCTGCTCAATATGGGTTTAACAAGCGCCGGAAGGGCCTACAGTCTTCTATGTCAAGTAAGTCTTGTTCACGTATATTAGCCATGCCGAGTGATAATAACGTTGTTCCATAGTATTGGTGATACAGTGTGTTGAGATATTGCATGTGCAATTTCAAGTGTACCCAGTGAGCCCCGAGGGTAGGATGATAGATTAATGTGAAGGCCTAGGACATTAGGCAGGCCAACAGTGATTCATAATATATATATATATCAAAGTTAGGGTTAGTGTGTTATAGTAAAGATAGTATATGGGAACTTGAGTTACAAACATAACTAAGGGTAGTTTATGTAGACGAGACCGTACGATAGATCGGTAATCATAGATCATGTATAATAAGAAATGTACAGGGAAACTATATATGTTCTCGAGGGGGACTTGCATGTCCTCGTTAGCAAGTCAGAGAGAGAGAGAGAGAGAGAGAGAGAGAGAGTCGAAGCCTTCACCCCATGAGGGGGAAGAACTTGAAGAAACAGAATATGTAGTCACGACGGAAGGACCGTCTTTGTAACCTGTAAATAATGTAAATTGTGTATATATATATTAATGTAAATAGACGGCTAGGATAGGATAGGATGTACCGGGAGTGTAATTCATATATATATTCCACCTCCCACACCCGATCCCGAGTAATCCTGACGAGCGAGGGCAGAACTGACACAGGCCGCAGTGGCAGCCGAAGATGAAGATAAGAATAGGCAGGGATAGGCTCCTGCCACACAGGCAGAGTACGGTAGCCTTGATAGTAACGCCCTCCCAAGATCCGAAGATAAAGTGTAATATTAATGGATTACGTGGCTACCTGTAAACCATATGCGGAGTGGTCAAGAAGGAGCTAAGACTATATGTCAGGGAGTAGTACCAACAATTGAAAGAACAGAAAATAGATGGTGGCAGCTTGTATGACAGAAGGAAACTCCGATATAGGAGAATCCTAGCTAAGGGTAAGCTAGGATGGTTGCGTTAACGCCTTACAGCATAACCAGTGGAGGCAAGGAGGGGTACCTGCACACCCCCGACGGCGCGACGTTACCAGGAGTACCAGTTTACGACATAACTAGTGGAGGCGAGGAAGGATACCTCCACGGCCCCTACATGCGGAGTTACAGTGGTGACAGAGGCGGGCTGACTCCACGCCCCCCTGTACCACGGCATTACAGCGGCGGCAGCAGCGGGAGGGATACCTCCATGCCCCCCCTGCGCCGCTAGGGCATTACAGTGGTGGCAGCGGTGGGATACCTCCACGCCCCCCTGCCACCAGGACGTTACAAAGACATTTCAGGAACAAAAAGAGAGAATATCTGTAAGACAAACTTAATTAGTCTGAAGCTCATGGTGAGAATAAAATATTAAAGACTTATATGTTGGTACAAATTATTTCAAGAAATGTTACCAAACAAGAACTTGGTAAGGGATGAGAAAGGTGATCTGCTTGCAGATTTCTGCAACATTCTGGATACGTGAAAGGACTATGCCTCTCATATATTGAACACACATGGCATTAATGAATAAGAGGTAGAAATACATATAGCAAAGTCACTGGTACCTGATCCTAGTCCTTTTGAGGTTGAAATTTGTACTGTGAATTTGAAAAGCTACTAATTGCCAGCTATTGATCAAATTCTGGCAGAACAGATCTGAGCATGATGTGAAATATTACAGTCCGTTATTCATGAACTTATGTATTCTCCTTGCAAAAAGGAATAATTGTCTGAGCAGTGGAAGGCATCTATTATTGTACAAGAATGACAGTAAAACTGATTGCAGTCATTACTGAGGCATATCACTATTATAACTTTCATACAAGATTTTATCCAACATCTTTCTTTCTTGGTTAACTCCATCATCATCATCATCATCATCAGTAATCTGTCAAGACGACAGGTCCACAGTCTCTTCCAAAACAATTCCTCCACTTAATGGGATCTAGAGCTTTCTCCNATTAGCCTTCCGTTTTCTTATTTCGTGTAGGATATTCCTCTGCTCACTGACTCTAATTAACACTTCTTCATTTCTCACATAATCGGTCCAACTGATCTTCTCCATCCTTCTCCAACACCACATTTCAAAACTTTCCAGATGTTTCTGATCTACTGCCCTAAGTGTCCATGTTTCAGCCCCATACAGAGCTATGCTCCAAATGTAGCATTTCGCTAGTTTCTTCCTCAAATTTAAGTCCAGTTTGCTGGTAAAAAGATTCTTCTTCTTGCTAAACGCAGCTTTTGCCATGGCAATCCTGGATTTAATTTCACTAGTACACTGTCCATCATCTGTTAACAAGTTACCCAAATATTTAAAACATTTCGCATTCTCCAGTTGTTTCTGGTCTATCTTTATTGTGACTGGGGTTGGTTGTCTCGAAATTTTCATTACTTTTGTTTTTTCCACATTCATTTCCATGCCATAGAACCTTCCAATTTCAATCAATCATGCCCTGTAGCACAGTTTCTTCCTTAGCCATTAACACAAGGTCATCCGCATATTTCACAGTTTGAATAATAACTCCATACATAGATGAAATTATTGGGGGTCTTCAGTGTTGGCTATGATATACTAGATAAACCACAGATCAGGTTCCTTGGTTTTGTCAGATACTGGGGAAGGATTTGTAGTACAATGAGACAGTACATCACCTAATCATAAACTTCAAAAAGCCTATGATTCTGTTAGGAGAGAAATATTGTACAATATTTTCACTGAGTTTGGTGTACCTATGAAACTAAGAGACCTAATTAAAATGTGTTTATATGAAACCTACAGTAAAGTCCGTATAGGTAAACATTTGTCTGAAATGTCTCCCATTCAAAATGGTTCAAAAGAGTGAGATGCTTTTCAAATTTGCTTTAGAATATGCCATTAGGAATGTCCAAGAAAACCAAATGGTACTTAAATTGAATGGGACACATCAATTGCTGGTCTGTAATGATGATGTAAATACCACAAAAAAAAAAAAAAAAAAACAGAAGCTTTAATTGGTCCTAGTAAGGAGGTTGGTCTTGAAGTAAACACAGAACAGAATAAGCATATGTTGCTGCCTCATCACCAGAATGCACAATAAAACCATAAGATAAAAATGGCAAACAAATGCTTTGAAAATGTCGCCAAGTTCAAATATTTGGGAGTAAGAGTTAACATACAAAAATTTGATTAATGATGTAATTGAGAGCAGATTAAATACAGTTAAAACTTTCTACAATTCAATACAGAACCTCTTGTCTTCTTGTCCATGCTCTAAAAATGTATGGATTTAAATATATGAAACTATAATTTGCTTGTAGATTTGTATGGGTTTGTGACATTAGGGGAAGACCATAGACTGTGGGTGTTTGAGAACGTGATACTGAGAAAATATTTATACACAAGAGGGATTAAATAATAGGATGTCAGAGAAAACTGTATAATGAGGAGCTTCATAACTTGTACCCTTCACCAAATACAATTATAATGATCTAGTCAAGGAAGATGTCATGTATAATGCATGGGAGAGAGGAGGGAGTGCACACAGGGTTTTAGTAGGAGAGCCTGATTGATGGAAACCCCTACAAAGACCTAGACATATATGGTAGTATAATATTAAAATGCATTTTAGAGAAATGGGGTTTTAGAGTATGGACTATCCTGTTCTGGCTGAGGATAGAGTCCAACAGAGGGCGCTAGTGAACATGGTAATAAATCTTCCTGTTCCACAAAGTGTTGGGAATTTCTTGATTGGCTGTGAAACTGTTGGCTTCTCAAAAGACTTGGCTCCTTCGAGTTGGTTAGTCATTCTTCTAATCTGAATACTCTAGGGCAATCAGTAAAAATAGTCTACAGGCTGTCCCCTTTGGAAATCTAGTCCCGCCAAGAAAATTACTCTGGTGACTATGGCTACAGGGCTGGACGTTCCCAGAGCTGTTAAAGTCACTGTGGAGAAAAGAGAATCAAATCCTGATGGTCTGGACATCCAGCCTACAGCCTAATCACTGCAATGACTGAGCTATCCTGGCTCCTCATATATAATGCCACATATATATATGGCCTCTAGATTTTCAGATACACAAATCACAGAACTATCTTATGTGGATGTCTTGATTCCCTTCGAATACTTTTAATTTATTTTGATAAATACTTCAAATTAGAAAAGAATTTTGTGTATCTGTACCAGGTTTGTTGCACAGTAAGTGAACTACTCATATTACAACTTTCACATCAATATGCTACTTGTATCAGCTAATTATTTCAAGTCATACATGCTGACCTAACACTAGATATAACAATTTAATAAATGTTTGGGAAAAATTTATAAGTGAATGTCACTATTTACGGACACAAGGACCAGTGTATAACAATATATCTTACAAGAATTTCCAGAAAGAACGTTCAGTAAACACTTTCTTTCAAATATTTCCATCTATGTGATCAGGTTGGCAAGGACTAAAAATTAATAATTATTCAAATTCAATGATCAGTACACAGTGCACATAAAGTTCATAGGTCAGTGGCCAGACAAACTGAAAATCCTGAAGAAGTGATGTAAGAAAATAAACCACTTTTCTACAATATGGGGGAAAAGCTTTACACAGACTGCTCAAAAATGCTGAAAACATTAATCCAAAAAAGTATGAGATATTGGAGATTGATAGAAGTCATGTAAATCCTATCTCTGAAACCCCTTTTGTCTTAGAGCATATTTGTGTGATTAAATCTGGTGTTTATATATTTCTGTTTATACATATTCATGCATGTGTGAGTACATGTACATGTATATAAGAGCTACTATTTTTCCACATTCCTCAAATATATTCCTATGTTTCATAAAAGAGAACATTTACAATTTAGTTGTTTAACTCCTCAGTGCATGCTTTCATGCACATATTTGAAACAATAATTCTTATCCACTACTCTTATTCTACATAAAATTTGTCTAATTATTCTTTTCTGATTCAGGATGAAAATAAAAGGAGGTTGAATTCACGTAATGCTTGCTACCATTCAGTCCAGAACCTTTTATATTCTTGTCTACTGTCTAAATACATAAAAACTGGAAAATATAAAACTACAATTTTGCCTGTATGGGTTTGACACTTGGTCTCTGATATTCAGAGAGGAACGTAATTATAGACTGAGGGTGAAGAAAGTCGTCTTCTGGGTTTTGGCGCCATGTATTCTTCGTTTTGGTCGACGTTTCAGAGGAATGTATCGCCTCCATCTTCAGAGCAGGTGAATGGCTTGTGAATGCAGAGAGCAGTTGATTGGGACGTAATCGACCGCATCACGACCCAGAAAGCTGTTAATATCGGTGACCAAGCTAGAGCCAGACAGTGCAAGAAGTTCATCAACTTGCAGAAGACACAACATCCACCCCAGCTTCATGAGAACAGGAAGACTGTGGTCAATCTAACTGGTGTACCCTTGGAAGAAGCGGCATACTCTGCTCTGAGCAAGGGCCTGAACTTTACTGTAGCCCCTAATTCTATCCCAGTTAAGGATATCCTGTGCAGGGTTGAAAAGGCTGTAATGGCCCTACCGGAAGAGACTGCAGAGGAGATTTGACAGGAGACAGTCAGGATCCTCAAGGGCTCCAACAAACCCAAGGACAACCTCACTGGTGCCGAGAGAAGAGCTCTCCGAGCCTTAAAATCCAACAAGATTCTCACGGTTCTTCCAGCCAACAAAGTAATGCTGCCGTGGTTTTGGCCACTTCTGACTACAACCAGAAGATTGCTGATCTCCTAGAGGACAAGACCTACAGGAAGCTGAAAAAGATCCCATGGACTCCGTAGAGCTCAAGACGTTGCTTCTCCTAAAGAAGTCCACGTTCCCTGAAGAGATCTGTCAACAACTACGACCACAATGTTCCAGAACACCGAGACTCTATGGGTTGCCCAAAATACACAAACCTGACGTACCATTAAGACCAATTATCAGCACCATTGGCTCCCCCACCTATCGCTTGGCCAAACATTTGGCAGGCCTACTTAACACCTACACCTGTGACTCCCCACACCACGTGAGAAACTCTGCCGAATTTGTCCAGACCATAAAATCCCTCCGATTAAACCCTTATGATATGATGGTTAGCTTCGATGTGGTGTCGCTTTTCACCAAAGTGCCAATCAAGGACACTATGGATCTGCTAGGAGGAAACTTCGCCAAAGATGTTTTGAGACTCTTTCGCCATGTCCTAACCACATCCTACTTCAACTTCGATGGCCAGTTCTACGAACAGATTGACAGTGTAGCCATGGGCTCTCCACTATCTCCGGTCATCGCTAACTTCTACATGAAGGACTTTGAGGAGAGGGCGCTGGATTTGGCCCCACACAAGCCCCTATGCTGGTTTCGATATGTGGATGACACCTTCGTCATCTGGCCCCACGGACCTGACAACCTGAAGGGTTTCCTGAACCACTTAAACAGTATCAACCCATGCATTCAGTTCACCATGGAAACCGAAAGTGAAGGCCACCTCCCCTTCCTAGACATAGATGTTTACAGGAGACCCGACGGCTCTCTAGGCCATACAATATATTGCAAACCCACACACACCAACCTCTATCTCAATGCCAAGTCCCATCATCACCCTTCCAGTAAACAGGCAGCTCTGCCCACACTGGTACACAGGGCCAGAGCTCTGTGCGATCAAGAGAGTCTGCGTGCGGAGTTGGAGTTCTTGAAGGACATCTTCAGACAGAATGGCTATAACGACCGGCAGATACACAGGGCCCTCAACCGCCATCCCAACAGCAATCAACCTGATGACCGCAGAGAAACTGTCGCCTTCTTGCCCTTTGTCGGGACTATATTCAACAGGATCAGCAGAGTGCTGTCCCGACATAACATCAAATCAGTTGGCCTGCCCCCAAAGAAAATATCTAATTTCCTCCGGCCTGTCAAGGATCACCTGGGACTGAGGACACCGGGAATTTACAGAATTCCATGCGAGTGCGGCAAGGTCTACATCGGGCAAATGGGCCGTTCTGTGGACACCAGGTTGAAAGAACATCAACGGCATTTACGATTAGAACATCCGGACAAGTCAGCCGTAGCTGAACACAGCATCGAGCTTGACCACCATATCCAGTTTCACAAAACCGCCATAATCACCAGTAAGAGCCGTTACCTAGATCGCATAATCATGGAGGCCGTTCAGATTGAGCTCCATCCGAACAACATGAACAAGGAAACAGAGTTCAGTCTCAATAAGTCATGGAAGCCTCTCATCTCTTCCCTCAAGAGAAATCCAACAAGCCACCCCAGTTCTTCGTCATGTCATTGACGTCAGTAGCCTGTCCCCAACCAACCGGTTCTTCTTGTCTACCGCAACTTCCTAGTGCTATTGACCTCAAGTTTTCTGGATTTCTTTGGTCGTTCCCCCCCCCCCTTAGCACACACACCATATAAAGCCTTAATCGCTCTCCACTGCTCCTATTGGTCCATTCTCCCTAACCCCCTGCCTACCTCGTATATAAAGCAGCGCCTTTCATTTCCTAATCATTTCAGCTACTGCTCTCTGCACTCACAAGCCATTCACCTGCTTTGAAGATGGAGGCGATACGTTCCTCCGAAACGACGGCCAAAACGAAGAATACACGGCGCCAAAACCCAGAAGACGACTTTCTTCATAGTCATCGCCGTGAAAACCTCAAAACTTACATAGACTGAGGGTGTTTGAGAACAGGGTGTTGAGGAGAATATTTGAGTCGGAGAGAGAAGAACCGACATGAGGTTGGAGAAAACTGCATAATGAGGAGCTTCATAACTTACACTCTTCACCAAGGATAATTAGAATGATAAAGTCAAGGAGGATGAGATGGGCAGGGCATATAGCCTGAATGGAGGAGAAGAGGAATGCAAATAGGATATTGGTAGGAAGCCAGAAGTAAAAAGACTAGTAGGAAGACCAAGATCGGGTGGATAATATTAAAATGGATCTTAGAAAGATAGGATGGGATGGTATGGACAGGAACGATCTGGCTCAGGACTGGGACCAATGGAGGGCTCTTGTGAACACAGTAATGAACGTCTGGGTTCCATAAAATGCTCAGTTCCATGAGTGATAAGTGAGTGTGGTTTATTTTATGGCCCTCTTAATGTATCAGGGTCAGCTGGCAGGATGACTGTTGAATAATTAATTGATAAGCATTTGGAAGGACATAACATAACAATAATAACAATAAACAATAAACAATAAACATGGTCATGACATAATTAAGGATTTGCCTGGAGGAACTTAAAAAATGCAAAGTACATCTGTCAGTCAAGACAGCTGGTGTGTCAGGTAAGAATCAAGCTGATCAATTTCTAAATAAAATCCAGAGCATTACTGCTACATGAATCCACTCAGTGATTTGTCTAATGTTTGCCCTGAACTGCATCATACAAATTATATTTTCCCAAATTTCTCTTATTTGGAAAACTTCTGGTAACCTACCTATCATGGCAAAGATATCAGAATTGTAGGAAGAGCCTTCTTTTTGTAATCCTGGTCCTTGACTGATAATCTTGCCATGTCCCAGGGCAAAACTTACTGCAAGGCCAAAATATGCACCAAATACATGGACAAAGATAGAACCTCCAGAGTCCTTAGCCTGTTGGGATAAAAATTAATGTCTTACAACACATACTGCAGGCAAAAGAACAAGTAAAATTACAGACTGAAGTCATAGTATACTCTCTGTTTTGTAAAGTGGTTTATGTGTGCAAAGTGCTCCCAATCACAGGTCACAATCTCAGGAAATGGGGTGAATAAAGCAATTATGTACTATTCTTTCCAGTGAAGGAGAGAGACAGAGAGAAGGAATGGAATTTATTCTCAATAAAAGGTGGGGAATATGAAGTAAATTTGTATTTTGTAATGCTTTTTCTCTCTATTTGAAAACTTCAAGCTGAACAGTTATGACCAAATATTTATATTTCTAACCTGCTTGTATTGCTTCAGCGTTTTCTCTGCTGAAAAATCATTATTATGTTCTAATACATTGGCTGCATTTAACAGCATGGACATCATCCCAGGATAATATCTGCCTTACCATATACAATAAATCAGTCACTCTCAACCGGATGCTTCCCTGACCAGCTAAAAATAGCAAAAGTGAAACCCTTGTATAAGAAACGAAGGGAAACGGATGTTGCGAATTATAGACCAGTATCACTAATTTCTGTTTTTTTCAAAAATAATTGAAAAAATTATGCATAAAAGACTTTTATCCTTTTAAAATAACCACAGTATAATTAATAACAAACAGCATGGTTTCTGCAAAGGGAAAACAACAAAAACAGCAATTGCAGAGTTCATAGAAGGGGTCTATAAATCGCTAGATGAGAAAGAAATAAGTATAGGGTTATTTCTGGATCTGTCAAAAGCGTTTGACCTAGTTAATCATGACATATTGCTAAGAAAGATGACAAGAATGGGAATACGAGGGTTTGCACTAAAATGGTTTCAAACATATCTAGAAAGAAGAGAACAGAAAGTGGAAATCACATATAGATGTAGAGAAGCTAATGTAAGCATTAACTATCTATCTCAGAGTAGACCCGTAAGACATGGAGTCCCACAAGGTTCTGTTCTTGGACCAATTTTATTTTTGCTATATATTAATGATCTAGAAGCAGGTATTGAACAAGGAAAACTAACGTTTTTTGCCGATGATATAAGTATTTTTATATCAGGAAATAGTGTTAATGTTGTCCAAAGGAAAATAAATGCAACAATAAATAAACTCACAGAGTGGTTTGAAAATAACAGATTAATTATTAATAAAGAAAAAATGATAGCAATATCCTTTCACCAACCACAAAAGAGACAACCAGAATGCCCATCAATAAAACTATATGATAAAGTCATCAGTTATACAGAACATACAAAATTTTTGGGAATGTGGTTAGACAAAAAATTAAGGTGGTCCACACATACTCAAACACTAGCAAGTAAGTTATGTAAAATATGTTTTGGCTTACGAATAGTCAAAAAAGTATCAGGATTAGAGACAGTTCTCGCTTTATACTATGCGTATTTTCAATCCCTGCTATCATATGGATTGATATTCTGGGGCAATTCAGCGAATGCAAAATTGATCTTTAAGATACAAAAGAGAGCTATTAGAGCTATAATGCAAATACAAAAAACCACCAGCTGCAAACAATATTTTAAATTGTTACATATATTACCTCTACCATGTTTGTATATATATGAAATATTAGTTTACATGAAATCCAACTTGAATGTTTTCATTACTAATTCAGCAGTACACTCACACAATACAAGAAAGAAAGACAACTTATTCATAGTTCCATGTAGGACGAGTATGTGTAAAAACAACTTCAATAATATTGGACTTCGTCTTTTAAACCACTTGCCACAATATATAAAAGATATACCAGCACTATATAAATTTAAAAAGACTTTGAAAACATTTCTACTTGAACATTGTTTTTATAGTATAGATGAGTTTTTCTTGTTTGGGGATAAACCCTAGTTAACATCAATATGACCAGATAATTCAAGAATAAGTGACTTGTTGAGCTTATACCAGCATGCTATGAATGTATACTGCGCAGTTCTCTTCTGCTTAAAGGAATCAAGACACCATGTTGGATATGTGATAGAAAGGACATCATGTGATGGAGGGACATCTACGTAGGCCGCTTAGAGAGAGATCGAGAATAGCAGGCCATCAAGAAGGGCACCAATCTGCAGTGAACATTACACTAGCTATCCATATCATTATTCTAAGGCCATGCCATAGCTTAAGTGATTAGTCGCTGGCTTCCCACCACTGCGATCTGGGCAAGTGGGATTTGTGATGGACAAAGTGGCGTTGGGGCAGGTTTCCTCCAAATACTTCGGGTTCCCCTGCCAATCTTCATTCCACCAAATTCTCCACAAATAAGAATATCTAACTAATTCTAAATTGTAATCAACTGTAAACAATTGACACTATTGTAATTTTAATCTTACTCATAAATTTTTAATATTCAGAATTAACTTGACTTGTCCTATATCATGTACAATGATCTACAGTGACGAAATCAATCAATCAATCAATCAATCAATCATAGGTTTTTGCACATTCCATCTATAACTTTTATACACACAAGAAATAAAAGCAACAGTAACTTTTGCCAACATAAGATCATGCACACTCTTCGGCTGACTTTAAAATATATATATATATATATATATATATATATATATTAGTTATTTACAATTCTGTCTTTTTATGCAACGTCTGTTAATGTTTGGTGGTTGTGTGATTGTTTCTCTTTGTCATGTTACATTCACTTATTTGTTCACAACATGTTTCAGCCCCATATAGCCATAATAAATTATTAGAAATTTTAATTAAACTCCTGTAAAAAGTGACGAAAATACAGTGAAACGACTTACATCCTATAATTAATTTACCTGATGCTGGCTGTGTGTGACTGAAACATTCTGTGAACAAATAAGTGAATGTAACATGACAGTGAAGAACAATCAAGCAACTACAAAACATTAATGAGAATGTTGTAGAAAAGATGGAATTTTAAATTGTAATATTGACTAATTATTGCAACAGGATGCTGAAAGATAAAATATTGAGGAAAAAATTAGTCTTTTGATGTATTAACAATTATTTTTGTTATAAATATAAGTACAGACTGTGATGTATATCAGTTTCTTTCTAATATTTGTATTTACCCATGCATGATGGTCAGAAAGGGAGCCATTGAAATAAAATGCTGTTTGGTGTGTGCTGGACATTACTGTATGGTATCATCTCCCACAGTGTAAATCTTCAGTACAGATGAGATACATCACTTCATTATTGTAACAACTCTTAACACAGTAGATCTAAATTGGTATAAATTTCACATGTGTAACACTGTTCAAGAAACAACTAAGCCACTGTCAATGCCACGCAAAACTAGCATATTTTTTAAACCTCATCGCATCTGTTGAACACTCAAGTGAAATGAGAGATGATAGCTGTGTCAAAGAGCATGTTTTAATGTGCTGTACTGTTTCATTCTTTGGAGGGATGTAGGTTCAAAGACATACTGTGTGATCTAGACAGTTCATCTCTAAACCTGTACTTGTGTCAAGAAATATGTATGGCCACCTTTTATATTTCTCCTGTTTCTTTTAATATCATAGAAATAAAAAACACTTTTATTAAAAATTTATTTTTCTGATTTACTGATTAAAGGTGTTTTTGTCAAGAAAATGGAATAAGATCAACCACATAGGACAAATTAAATATAAATTTCTGTCAGTTGAGGTAAAGGTAAAGTTATCGTTATGCTTAATTAATTGAGCACTGAGCCATGAAGGCGTATGGGGGAGTGAGATATAGATCCATATATTCTAGACCTACTAGATGGAGGTGAGCTGGTAGCTTCACATCCCAGCAGCTTGTGTAGTACAGGGGCTGCATGGACACTGTAGAGAAGAGTGAAATCTCTTGCCTCTGCCAGGAATCAAACCCCCATTTCCTTAATCATCCAGTCCATAGCCCCTTCACTATACAATCTGAACTATCACAGTAACAATTCTTTTTTGACTTGTGATAAAGTGAATACTTACTTTGAATACATTTAGACCCAAATGTTCATTTCCACTGAAAATAGCTGTTTCTATGAGGCCCATTATTACTAATTGAAGAGGTGTTGTTTTTCCCAGAACAGCACCAAATGAAATCAGCAATGCCGCTGTTGCCAAGTCAGCAGATAAGAGACTGAAATAGTTGCAACAATTGAACAAAATAGAATGGAATTATTTTTAATGGATATAGAAATTTTTGCAATTTATTTATTGTGAGTGAATGCAAAGAGGTCAGACACCCTAGGCACAGTTCTCCATATATATATATTTATTTCATTACTGTAATGAATCCCACCCATCTGAATACTCAGATTTTCATGACTGGTTGAAGTTCAGAGTTCATAGAACTCTCTCTTCAGATATATGTCCAGACACAAGTTTCAGTGCTCTCTGTCTACATGTTTAGTCTATTGGTTTATGGTTTCAACTGTACAGAAGTTGGCAAAGTGAAAAATGTGTACTCTTACTCCATTGCTTCAGCTTGTACAGTCATATATGACCTCAAATTTTATTTCTTAGACAAACTTATGTTCAAAGTGAATTTAAAACTAAATTTTTATTCCCCAAACAAAATAAGTGACATCCATTTCAGTATCCATATTTTTATGCGATTTACTGTCACAAAGAAATGCATTTCCTTGTTAAGGATAATGAATATACAAAATCTATTGGTGTTGAAATTATATAGATAATCATATTTATTTTAGTAATACGAACAAAATAACCCTGTTTCCCCTATTTGCATAGTCTATGATTTCTTACATAACAAAAATAGGTCAGAAAGTAAAAGAAGAAAGATGTTCTATGAAGAGAAATAGGTTAGGAAGAGTAAACTGTAATTTTCTAAAAAAGATTAAAAGTTAGTGAACTGATTACTCGCATTACAATTTTTCCACTCCACTTTTATATGGTATTTCTAAAATTAATAGTTGTGGATTCTTACTCCTCATGACATAAAAGGAGACATGCATATGGTCGCCAGCAATGCGGGGGAAGGGGGGGCAGCAAACCAGACATCTCCCCACGTATTTTGAAAGCAATTAAAATGTAAGATTTGAGGCTTTCACGGCGGTGACTATGAAGAAAGCAGTCTTCTGGGATTTACACCACATATACATGGTGCCAAATCCCAGAAGACTGCTTTCTTCAATTAAAATGTAAGAGCAGAAAGAAATATACCACATATATATGTGGTATAATGCTATATAGCATCATCAGCAGCGACTTGAAGCACAGAGCAAATGATGCTCGTGATGGTTCAAGTTCATATAGCAATAGGCGTGACCAGAGTGGTTTGAACGGCTGTTGTACTGCGATGTGGAAAGCAAATGGAAAAACTACCACATTATCACTTTTCCTGGATAGTCTCTTTCCAAAAACAGAGATACCATGTATGCGAAATGTTTCCTCTGGATACAAAACAATCCGGAGGTAAACTACTCCCCCAATCGGATCTCTGGGGGGGAGTGTTTCTAGAGGAAATATCATGCAGGCGTTGCGACAATAAAAAGTGCAAAGATCACAAGGAACATCACGGCTACAAGATTGGAATATGGAATGTAAGGACCTTGAATCAAGCAGGCAAATTGGAGAATTTGAAAACGGAAATGCAGAAGAATGAGGTGTCTGTTTTGGGTGTCAGCGAAGTGCAGTGGAAAGGACAAGGTGAAATAAGCAGTGGTGATTATACGGTGTATTATTCTCGAGGTGAACGGGTTGAAAGAGGTGTGGCAATAATGGTGCATAAAAGTGTAATGAGGAGTGTTGTTAAGAAGATTGTTTGTAATGACAGAATTATTGCTCTGAAGTTAAAGGCGGAACTGGTAGATATACTGATTATGCAAGTGTACATGCCAACATCAGAGTATGAAGATGATGAAGTGGAAAAAGTGTATGACACAATTGAAGAAATTCTTCAGGAAGATGGAAGAGGTGACACAAACAGCATCATATTGGGAGACTGGAATAGCATTGTTGGAGATGAATCATATCAGAATATTGTTGGATCACATGGACTAGGAAGACGGAATCACAGGGGTCAAATGCTTATTGACTTTTGTGAAAGAAATGGACTGATTGTTACCAACACTTGGTTCAAGAAGCCAAAGAGAAGACTTTACACATGGAAGGCACCTGGGGATTGGAGGCGGCATCAGCTGGACTACATCCTTGTGAAACATCGATTCAGAAACAGTGTGAAGGATGTGAAGACGCTTCCTGGGGCAGATATTGACTCTGACCACAACTTACTGGTTGCCAAGTTCCGAACCAGGTTGAAGAAAATTATAGGATTTCGAAAGCGCAGACCCAGATGGGATTTGGAGAAGTTATATGCTCAAAGACAAAGCGTGCAGGAGACCCTAGAAGAGAAACTCGGTGCAATTGAAGGTGAAAGCGGAAATGCTGAAGTGCAGTGGAACAATATAAAAGAATGCATGTTAGATACTATCAGTGATTTGGTAGGTAAAGTTGAGAAGATAGCAAGAAAACCATGGGTTACACAGGAGATGATGAGTAAAATGGAGGAGCGAAGGAAATGGAAGAATGTCAACAATGAAGAAGGCAGGAGGAAATACAGGAGACTGAGGAATGAATTGAAAAGAGCCACGGACAGGGCCAAAAAGGAATATCTTGAGAAGATATGTAATGAGATTATGGAATTTCAAAGAACAGGCCGTTATGATTTGATGTACATGAAGACAAAAGAACTAGGATGGAAAGAGAATCATGGGATTCAAAATGTTGGCATCGAAGACTCCCAGGGGAATAGAATAGTAGATCAGAGGCAAGTGCTGAAAATTTGGGAAAATTATATTTCAGAACTATATGATCGACCTAATCGGCCAGAAACCTTAGAAGTTGAACCGGAAGAAGAAGTAGATACAGACGAGAAAGGACCATATATTTTACAAAGTGAGGTGGAAAAAGCTATCAAGGAAATGAGGAAGGGAAAGGCTACAGGAGATGATGATGTACCTGGAGACGTGCTTAAGTTACTGGGAGAAGGTGGTTTGAAAACACTGATGAAACTGGGGAGTGGCCCAAGGACTTTACAAAAGTGACAATGATTGCCTTAAAGAAAAGGACAAAAGCTACAAAACGCNAGAGGATGTACTTGGAGAAGATCAGTTTGGATTTAGAAGAGGAAAAGGAACCAGGGATGCAATTGGGATGATGAGAATTATAGTAGAATGAACTTTTGAGATAGATGAAGAACTGTGTGTTTGCTTCATAGACTGGCAGAAGGCATTTGACCGGGTAAACTGGACCAAATTAATGCAGATCCTGAAAGAAACAGGTATCGATTGGCATGAAAGAAGATTGATTAGCAAATTGTACATGGATCAGAAAGTTAGAGTACGACTGGACAGGGGGGAGACAGGAAGTGTGCAGATTGGAAGAGGAGTTCGACAAGGATGCTGTTTATCACCAATTCTGTTCAACTTGTACAGCGAATGCCTTACCAAGGAAGCTCTGGATGGGCTTGGAGGCTTCAAATTAGGGGGGAAAATTATTCAAACTGTGAAGTATGCAGATGACCTTGTGTTAATGGCTAAGGAAGAAACTGTGCTACAGGGCATGATTGATAGACTAATTGAAATTGGAAGGTGCTATGGCATGGAAATGAATGTGGAAAAAACAAAAGTAATGAAAATTTCGAGACAACCAACCCCAGTCACAATAAAGATAGACCAAAAACAACTGGAGAATGTGAAATGTTTTAAATATTTGGGTAGCTTGTTAACAGATGATGGAAGGTGTACTAGTGAAATTAAATCCAGTATTGCCATGGCAAAAGCTGCATTTAGCAATAAGAAGAATCTTTTTATCAACAAATTGGACTTAAATTTGAGGAAGAAACTAGCAAGATGCTACATTTGGAGCATAGCTCTGTATGGGGCTGAAACATGGACACTTAGGGCAGTAGATCAGAAACATCCGGAAAGTTTTGAAATGTGGTGTTGGAGAAGGATGGAGAAGATCAGTTGGACCGAGTATGTGAGAAATGAAGAAGTGTTAATTAGAGTCTGTGAGCAGAGGAATATCCTACACGAAATACGAAAGCGGAAGGCTAATTGGATTGGTCATATCTTATGCAGTAAATGCCTTCTAAAAGAAGTTATTGAAGGAAAGATAGAGGGGCGGATAGAAGTGACCAGAAGACGAGGAAGAAGACGTAAGAAGATGCTGGATGACCTTGGGGACAGCAGAGGATATTCTCATTTGAAGCAGAAATCTCTAGATCGCATCAAGTGGAGAACTGTTTTGGAGGAGACTGTGGACCTGCCGTCTTGACAAATTACTGATGAATGAATGAATGAATGCTATATAATGTTGTAAGCAGGGCCTGGATTTTGATGACCTAAAAATATTTTAAAAATGACCTATAAAAATGACCGAAAAATCCAGAAAAATTATATAAGAGTTAAAAAACGACCTAAAATGTATCATGTCATGGAAAATCTACTAATTTTTTTGAAATGTATTTTTAATACACTGATACGTTGGGTTTTGGGCTTTATCCAACGTCCTGGTTTTTAAGATAACAAATAAAAACACGACGTTTCGGAAACTGGATCTGTTTCCGTCCTCAGGTGAAGGAAAACACCTATTCAGTTGGGTCCATTAGAAAGAGCTAGCCTCAATCACTGGTCCAGTGATAGCTCTTTCTAATGGACCCAACTGAATAGGTGTTTTCCTTCACCTGAAGACGGAAACAGATCCAGTTTCCGAAACGTCGTGTTTTTATTTGTTATCTTAAAAACCAGGACGATGGATAAAGTCCAAAAACCCAACGTATCAGTGTGTTATACATCATCGTCAGAATCCTATACTAACTACTTGTATTTTTAATCTTTATTAACACTGTGAATTCAACGTTACTCTTTTAAGTTCGTCCTCGTTTTTATGTTGAAAAGCAATATATGATTGAACTTGAAGCTAGATGTTTTAATACATTTTTTTCTATCACGTTGGAACGCTTATCAAATGCACATATATGAACATATACGGTATATATTCCAATATTTAATTGCCACCGCATTCAGTGTTGCAATAGATGACAGTCAACAAGCGGAGATTCTCGAAGGTTGGTGAACAACGCCTCTTGTCCGACAGCACATTCTTGTACTTGGAGAATGGAAGCGCACTTGAAGTGTACCAAATCACTGGCAGTAAATTCCTCTTCAATATTGAAAGTACTGAAGGACTCTCCTGTCAGAATCCGAGAAATGCCGCATAATGTTTCATAACCTCAGTTATTATCTAGAACATGTTTCATTTTTCTTGACACAATTTTACCAATATCCCCTGACACTTCCTGCAAATCACTGGCTATTTTTTTCACCACAGCGAGCGCATCTTCTAGTGTTGCTCCTTTCTCCTGTAAGCAATTGATTCCTTCCGTCACGAAACTGCAATTTGCCTCTATGAAGGCCAGCTGTCCTTCCATTTCTCTGCACGAGAACTGTTCCTGAGCAGCTTCAATTGCCCTTGCATCCTCAGTCTCCATTGACTCTACAGTGTTTTTCACTGCCTGAAAAGGATATAAATAGTAAATTGTAGCATCAGTCCACGTTCCCCATCTTGTGATGACGGGTTCCGGGGGAAGTGGAACACCAGGACCCGTAGACTTAAACTGCATTCTACGAGCTGGAGCCTTGACGAAAATCTTCTTCGTCCATGACACAAAAAATTCCACTTGAGGAAATCTTGATCTTACTTCCTCCGTCACTCTATGCAGTGCATGAGCTAGGCAAGTAACGTGCACCAATCTCGTATAAAACGACTTTATTGACTTTGCCTGATTGTAAAATATATGGGGCCGTATCGGTCACAAAAAGCAAGACGACGTCGTGCCGTATACCCTCTGGCCTCAGTAGAAACATCGACTTGTCAAAGAGTTTACAAATTGCGGAATGATTAACGGATTCTAGCACCTCACTCGTAAGCAGAAACACTTCACCTGGTCCGCCAATTTCCAAGGTTCCAATGATGACGTTTGCCATGTAGCCATCCTCCGTATCGCAGGTCTCTTCAAAAGAAACGAAAATCTTCTTCCCATGCACTTTATTCCTAACCATTTCCAGGATATTGTTGTAGCACTTGGAAAGGTAGTGGATTCATCCGTGATAGAAAGACCACAAATCACTTCCAGAAATATTTTCATTGTTTAGAGCCCAAAACGGAATATTTGCGGACACAAGAGCATCACACAGATCTGCGAAAAAATCAAATGACATATTTCCGCCTTCCAATGAACACTGTTGCAGTAACATTTGCACAGATTTCTTTTTGTTCGAAATTTGCACTGCTCGTATATGCTTGTTGCGGTCGATATGTTGTTCTACCGTGAATCTTTTTTCTTCCGCTAATTTTGTGTCACACATCTTAAAGTATAAAATGTTACTGTCAGTTAAAAATATATCGTCTCCAAATTCAGCCACAACCTGCTTTAAATGACACGATTTAGATGGCTCTGCTTCAGGCATCGCGATAAAATGAAACACTCTAGCGCAACACAGAACTAAACTTTTCACACTGAGAACCTTTCGTCAACTGTATCTTTGTCTGTACGGTCAAGGGCCAGAAACTGAAGACAGACGGAGTTTTATTGAGCAACAATATGTCATAAAAAGCGAGGGATTCCGTCTAGAAATATTTGTAACTAAGCAAATTCCTTTGCACAGAACTTGGAAAGGACCGCAGTGTGAGTGACCGTTGTCGTGCCATGCTGCCAGTTTAAAACGTTTTATGATATGTATTGTGAGCACTTTAGGCAAAACGATCGTAACGGATGGGACATTATTACAACTTATTATTGCAGACTGTGATAGCAGGTACTTGGGGTGCAGCTGCAGGCTGCATTTCTAGAGGCAGGAGAAAGAGAAAGAACACTTTACTAGCATATTATTCACATTTCTGAAAACACGTGAAGAAAAGGCGCGTCTCGTTTTTCATTTATTAGTTTACCTATTGTGTTGGCTGTTTTGAAGGCTATCTTTATGTTAGTGTTTTTGAATGGTTTTGTGATTTTTCGTATATAATTTCCTGTATAAGTAGAAGTGACCCATTTTGCTCCTTTCGTCTTTATTATCCGGGTTAACCATCTTTCGCTTAAGTTTGTTATATAGATGTGTGATGTCTTCCTTTCTATAGTGTTATATTTAGTGTTATATTAATAATAGTATTTAATTCTTTGTTTTTAGCATTTTCCTCAAGGGGTAGTGTAAGAAGTCTGTGTATCCAATTTTTATATGCTGGCAATTTTTGCTCTTTAGGGTGGCATGATTTATTATTTATTGTTGTGTTTGTCGTTATGAGTTTTCTGTATATTTCCATTTCTATTTGTCCGTGTCTATTAAATATATATAAGTCCAGGTAAGCTAAATTTTTTGAACACTTTAAAAGTTTTAATACCAGGAAGGCTGCTGTGATTGTGAAAAGTTGAATATTGTGTAAATTGTGTATTCCAGGCATTATGTGTGTATGTAATTTAGCAATCAGAACACCTATTGTGATGGTGGTTTCCGAATAAGTATTGATGTTCCCTCTGAAGATGATCCGTAAGTGTGTGTGTGTGTGTGTGTCTCTCTCTCTCTCTCTCTCAAGTCTCAATTCTGAGACAGTAAATTATGGTCGCGAGTCCCAAGGGACTCGGACCCGAGAAAGACTGCGCTGGCAAGAGCCAGCAGCATATACAAAAGACAGACCCGTCCTCTCGTCAGAGAGGGCGCCCCACAGAAACAAGACCGTAACTGTCAAACGATAATAATTAATATCTGGTCATGAGCCACAAATGGGGCTCGACACCAAGACTTACTGACTGACTGACCGTCAGTCGCAATGTAACTCTGACTCTGACTGTGAAGAAAAATTCCCTAAAGTGGCTAAAATGACAAGAAATACCCTTAAAAGTCCAAAAATGTACCGAAAATTACCCCCAAACTGAAAAATTGACATAAAAACTTAAAAATGACGAAAAATGACAAAAATGACCTATAAAAGTTACATTTCTGTAACCAGCAACTCATCTCCGGGATTTATATAATTACGGGCATCGAATAGGATACAAAAAAAAAATGACATATCAAAATCCGGGCCCTGATTATAAGCATTTAAACATTATTCTTCTCTGTTAATCGGTAAGGTAAAGCTGACCCTGTGCTTAACTAATTAAGCACTATGCCACGAAGGTGCATGGGGGAGTGGATAGATCCACATTTCCTTGACCTCAGCAATAGCTGTCGGTGAGTGGTCAGCTTCACGCCCCAGCCGCTTTACCCCCGAGGAAAGAGCCCCCAGTACCCACTGGATAGGAGGCTGGGTGGACCACAGAGCTGGGCTGGACTATGTGAAGAAGAGAAAATTTTTGATCCAACTGGAGCTCGAACTCTGACCCCTCAGTTATCCATGCCATAGCCAGTCACTATACAGACTATGCTATCTTGACTCCTCATTTTAAATCCGTATACTAATCGGTAAAAATAATAATAGATTGCTTTAACATAAGTCTGTAAGCAAATTTCCTGGCTGCCCCCAGCAAAAAATGCTTACCCCTTGGAAATGTGACTGGCCCCCAGGAAATCTGATTGTAAGTTACAACCATAATCACTCTTACAGATTCCCTTTCTCTAAACATAATTGGCTAACATGTTTTGACTTAATGATAAATGACATACATATCATCTGTACTCAATAAAGTGACACTGGGCTGGGTTTTGTCTTGAGTACTTCCTCATTACACCAACTGCCCCACATTCATTATTCTTCCTATATTCAATTTTATATATTCTCAATACTGACAACATTGTTAAATAACCAACTTAAAAGAACTATAAATTGTAAATTTCAACCACATATCGACTGACATTAAATTATGTGCAAACCATTCCAATTTATTGCATGAGTTTCCAAGTCTACTACATCCTAACATGACTTTACCTGGTGATACTGATGTCAATGTGGTGACCTTCAGCCCCATGATGAAAGAATCCACTGCAGAGAATAGACCACTGAACATTCAGTGCAGCAATCAGTAAGTTGAATCCAATGGCACTGAAGCCATACCTCTTCAGGAATGTCATCAGGAAACCAAATCCAATGAACACCATAACATGAACATCCTGGAATACTGTGCACATAAGAAGACTCAAGAAGTATAAGTACATTTACACATTTCTCACAACATTTTACTTGTTAATATTTCAACAATTTCTGATGTCATTTGAACTATTTAAGGATTAATGCTAAGTATGGACTTCATTCCTGATGTTTCAACTTTCCGTTTACTCCTTCTGTTCACAGCTCAGTTTCCATATCCATGTATTAATTCCGTGACTGCCATAAATTCATAAACTTTAAAATAATTGTCTCTCTTTTGGTCTTATTTCATCATGATACAATCATATTAATAACCATGCACATATTTCAGTACACTTACCTGGGTGTTTTTTACGAAGAATATTTTCTTCCACATGAAAACCCCTCGGAAACAAATCATTATTATTTCCTACATTATTAGTAGCCTTCGCATGGGAATGATAACCTGCCATTATGGCCATTTGAATGATGATTATTGCCTCCACTAGTAATAAAATGATCCCAAAACCATACTGCATTTTATCCATTGCTGTAGTTAACGTAACACACACCTGCAACTTGGGTAAGGTAACTGTGTTGAGGAGAGTCACAGACTGAATGCTTAACTGTGTTCTTTATGTTAAGAGTTTCTGAAAGTTGATCCTATCTTACCCTTTAATGTTAATAAATTCTGAAAATAAGGCAAAGTCAAGTGTCATTAATAATCATTTGCTCGAGAACCTGACACCAAATAGCTCCAACTGCAAACGTATGAAGGCAGCTGTTAGCATCAGTGGCATTAAGCCATTATTAAAATTTTGTCCTTGGTTTCCATGACTAAATAAATTGCCCTTAATAGTTCTACATAGTTTAATGAGTCTATTGTTATCTTCCGGAAGAGACAACAAAATTCCTCAACCAGTCACATTTTTCTTCCTTTTACATAAAAATAAGTAAAGCTGTCCTTGTGCTTCACTAATTAAGCAATATGCCATGTAGGCGTATGGGGGAGTGGATGTAAGATTCCATGCATTTTTGACCTCAGCACTAACTGGAGGTTTGTGGTGTTTCCATTTACATATTATGCTACTTTATGTCCCCACTGGTCTCAAAATTCCCTTTCATTCCCTCGTCAGCCTTCCTCATACTCCTACTTTTCCTTCCTTAAAATTTATAATTCTGAGCTATCATCAGTCTCCAATCTTCACCCATTTTCTCTGCACTGTCCTTTCACCTGCACTCTGCTTATCACCTCCTTCTTGCTGGGTATTTGCTTCTGTAATCTTGACCCTGAAGATGGGTGTGGTAAGTTCCTTCGATAGTGAACTTCTACTGGACTACACAGCATTACATGCCAGACAACAGTACTTCTCATGATCATTGCTGTAAGAAATTTAAATAAAAATTCTTCTTTTCCTTTCCTTCATCTCTTTCATATCTTTATCTCCTTCCCTTCTTTAACTATTATTGCTTTTCTGTAGCTTTCCTTTGTTTGCCCAATTGAAATTCCTCTCCTTCACATCAAAACCTTTCCCTCATTCCTCTTCTTCTGTTCCTGTGTCCATTTCCTTTCTCTATCTCCTTCTCCCATGTCTCCCATATTCCAGTCCTATTTCCTTTATTTCTATATCTAGTCGCCATTCCTCTACTTCTGCCCTAGCAACAGCTACATGTGGTGTTCTTGAGCATGACAGGAACTGGTTGTTATCTAAGTACTAAACAATGACCCACTGAAATGAATGGTAATTTGGTAAATATTTATGCAGGAGTCCTCCTTCTTATAAGCTGTCCGATTCATTATTAGAAGAAATACTCATAAAAGTGCTGATCAGGTTCGCTGTGCGATCTAAGGCATGAAATGTCTTTGCCTGCTCAAAAACTGGGATTATGGATTCGAATCCCACTCAAGGCATGGATGTTTGTCTGCGTTCATTCTGTGTTTGTGTTGTCCTGTGTGCAATGAGCTGATCCCCTGTTCAAGGGGTTCAACTGATTGTCTAAGATTAAGATTCTGAAGTGAACTGAAGCGTTTCACCGATGCCCTGTTCCCAAAGTGGGAGCATATAATTCTTGGAATAAACGGCTATTATTTGCCTAAACAGATTGATGCTGATATACGTTATGGAGACTCAGAATATTTTCTGTGAGAATGGGACAGAATTTTGAAATATAATTTAGATGAACATGTCATAATTCCGATCCAATGAGGTAAAAACGCTGCTCAGTAACTCTCCCCTCCTCATAACAAAATCCACTCCCTAACGCTTTACCTTATTCACATCCCAATGTTGTACACTCTTTTCAAAATACTGTTACGTGTATGAGTGACTCTAAACAGGGTTTTGGATACTTGAATTTACTGACCACTTACAGGTCGTAACTACAAATAACTAATAACACTATCGCTATTTCCACACTATACAAAATCACGATAAGTCTTTTCCAGCCCTCTGTGCCTTCACAGGTAGTTGCCTGGTAACGGCTTCTAACAATAATTAGTCCTCTCTTTCCAGGCTCAAGTCCTCTCTGACCGCCGGTTCCCATCTGAACTCTGTTACAACTAACTCCCAAGTTTGCGGCCATTTCACGCCAACCTCCAAGTCTTCTCTTCACAGCCCTACTTTCGACTGAGCACTAACTGCCGCTGACTTTTTATTCAGACTCCCGTACAGAACTGACTTGGTTGCCCCAGTTGCCTTCCTCATAAATCCTCGGCACGGACCGCGTAGACAACACCGTTCATTCTCGAATGTTAATCGTTGCCACGGGAAAGTGTTTACCGAACTGATCTCTAGCAGCCGCCGTCCATTCTTGCTTATTAAGAATCTGCTGCGTAACAACGGACATCGTTCCGTTGTCTGTTTCGCTGCCGTTGAATAGAAACGAATGTTGTTTCAGAGCCGTTCCCTAGCAACGGCTGTTTCTCTGGCTCCACGGTTCTTGCTTTGAGCAAATATGCCACCAATACCTTTATCAAAAAGAAAAGGAACCACTACCTGAGAACCTTCAAAGCCCCTCCCCCCCTTAAAATGAAGAAGGAAAGCGGGTGTTCTCAGGAAAGAGAGAGAACCAAAAGTGTTTCTGTGCCCCCTCTCTTAAATTTCAGTTTTCCCCTTTACTCCCCTCTCCACTTTCTCTCTTATCCCTCCCGCGCTCTCTCTCTCTCTCTCAATGCTTCGTGTTCCAAAGTGCTAACGAGGAAATTGTTGTCCGACGTACAGCTACTGCGAACTGCCTGACCATCCGGGGCCAGTGGAATCACATCTGACATGTCCCGGTAATTCATCGAAATGTATGCGGTTCCGAATATCAGTAGGGGCATCTCGCCTGTCGCTAGAACTAACAATTGAGCCAGGTGCCAAGCCCGGGGTGTGGATTCTGTGCAAATAAGCGACAGTTCAAGGTAACTCGCGAAAGTCAACAAGCAGGTCATCAGTCATGGCACCGCTGTCTTCCTATCGACTAATTTATTAATTAACTCCATGAAGTGGAGTTCTCATTGAGAAGCTAATAGTTGCTCAGTTCTTCAGTTTCTCGACGAGGTAACTATGCTGTGTTCTGTGATGTTACACCGCGTAGTCTGGAAACGTTGTCCCTCCATTCGAACGGTCGAAGAGTAAACTTGATTTACAGTTCAAAGATACGGCCACTTTTTTCATTACCGTGTTCGTAATAGCCCTCCACTGAACCCCGTCCTGGTCCAAATGAGTCCACTCCAAACCCTCATATTTCTCCAAGAACCGTCGACTCAGCCTCTAAGGCGAGGGTACACCAAGGAAGCTGGCAACCTGCAACGCGACCGCACTCTGCGCGAAAAATCGCCGATTTCAACAAGGCAACAAGTTTCCAGATTTGCGGGCTCACACTGAGGAAACTTATGTTTCACGTAGTTGCTCATATCACCTTAAGCGGATATGTTCGTCCAACATATTGCATAATTGCATGTTTCGATTTCTTGCGCTTACCTTCTGCAGTGGAAGATAATAATACCGATCCTGTCATAATGTGGCAGTAGTGCAGACCGGTTGAGACTGCGTGAGCAGAGAGGACGACGACCGTAAGGAAAATATTGGGAACTTAATTAATTTGTTTTAATTAAGATCAATTTATTTTAACCAGGAAATATTGCATTCACACGCGATACAAATTTTTTACATGCAGTACAATTTTAGTAAGACAGAAGACACCTGATGATGGCCGTATGCAGCCGAACCATGTGATGTGGAAGAAGGGTGACTGTACAATAATTTGCATTTAAGGCGGAAATACATGCGAAATAAATGATATATTAGTGCAACAGGATGCTCAAACGCAATATTAGGAAAACATTGGGTGCATCCGTTCTTCTGTGTCGATTTGAACCGAGGCGCTTGTATTGTTTCGAAAAAACTTAACCTGGATCCTAACTCCTTTGTCTCATGAGAAATTCTTTCCGAACCCAAATCTATTTTGTCCTGCCTACCATTATTATTATTATTGGAGGGGGTGGGTTTCCCCATGCACCGCGACCAGTTTGATCTATTTTGCGTTCCTGCCTAGCATAGTCTGGGCGGTGTTTGTCACATATACCAGGATCTTGCTGAATTAACTGCACAAAAACAAAATTAGTAGCTTCGTCAAATTTTCGTGACATCTAAAGAAACAAATGAATCACTGACGCGCGTTATGGAAAAGGTGACACTAGGAAACCACCCGGCAACGCAATTGTGAGAAGACTGGTATGCTCCATTGCTTGGAAGTTGGGTTCCTTAGTCTTTCCGCGAGTTGCGTTGCCATTTCCTAAATGCGCGGCTCCATTCAGTAGCATGTGTTCAACTCAGGCTGATAACAGTTCTTGGAAATTGCGGTTGCGTCGCCGTTGCCAATTTCCTTGGTGTGCCCTCGCCCTAACAGAAATGAGTACCAGGAATCTTCCTGGGGGTAAAGGACGGCAGGCGCGTTGGGCTGACAACCTTACCGCCATCTGTGAGCCGATTGTATGGAAAATGTAGGAGCCTCGAAGTCTAGCAACCCTATGGGCCTCCACGGCCTGTCACAGCGATAGATAGCTTT